TCAGTTTGTCGTTTTATATCTTGAGATTTTTAGTACTGTAGAAAAACGGCGAAAAATCGCTAAATCAAGTCAGTGGAAAATTATCTGCTGATCTACTACTACAATCGCACAACCAACCAATCATTACATGATTGTCGATATTTTCGACTGTTATCATCAATATTCTATAAAAATTTAAATTGATTTAAATAAATCATAATTTTAAATAGTTATTGTGAGACTCTTATCTATGTTAATATACTTTGGCCTATGGTAGTATAATATATTTAATGTACCTAAATCGAATATATTAGCGCCTTTTGTTATTATATCTTTGAACTGACTTCCATCACAGATAATTACGATTTTCAAAAGGCTAGAATTATTTGATTTTAGGAAAACACTTTATTTAATATTGGTTTTATTATTACTCATCTTTAAAAATATGAAAATCTTGTCTGCCTTTGATATTTAAAATTTTGAAACTAAGTCTTTTCCATATCAATACTTACTTTTTGTTCGTGGATATCAAAAAGTGTTTTTCCGTGTTTACAACTTCCATTTAAAGAAATCTTGCCAATATCAGATCAATAAATAAATTGCGAAAACCTTTCAAATTTCTTTAAAGATGAATATATAAACGTTTATGTGATTTTATTTGCGAAAACTGACGGTGCAAAATCAGTGTTGCTCATACGCTAAAGTGGTGGAAATTGTTTTCTATTGTGTCCATTAGCCGCAAATTTGTTGAAGCGTTATCCATTCAAATAAGCAATCTAACCGCTAATAGATGCCGAACTCAAAACTGCAATTTATCAAATTGCAATAAAATATTTTTGCCTCAAATGGATTGCTTGGCCCACAACAAACTGCAGTGAATATGCAGAAAATCCGCTGACGCACTCTGCATGCACCGACAGATTGTTGCACAAATTCGCAATGAATTGCAAAAATCGAAAAATTAAACGATGTAAATGATGAGATATCACTTTTCCCCAAACAAGTTCTATATAAATTTATTTTGCTATTTTAGAACTCAAGTTAAACAAATATCATATCAAATAGCTAAATTCGTAATACTCGAATTTAAATATGAAATTTATTACAAAATGAGAATAATTTGTGGAATCCTTAAACTTAGGAACTCGTAAATTGTTTTGGTGTTTTAAATATTTAAAAGGAGAACAAAGGTAACATTTCTGAATAAATCGGCCAATACAACATCAAAGCAAGGACAAAAGAAGTTCACATTTTATTGCTAACAGAAGTTTTGTGGCATTTTTGGAATTTTGAATTTTCTTGTTTTTTATAATTTTTCCACTTTATTTAGTTTATATTTTCAGTATGGCAACAGCGTTCAACTTTCATTTTAACAAGTCCTTGCCATGTTTTATCCTTTTGTGTTATTCTTTGTTTTATTTTTTTTGTTTTTTTTTTGTTGATTTGTTTGGCTTTGTTTTATTTAATTTTATTTTTGTTTATGTATTTGCACTTTGCACCCTATACCTTTCAGTACCCTAGGCAATGAGGCAATGAGGCATACTTTCAGGCGTCTTCGTGTCGCGCCTATATGACGTCCATAGAACAAAGTAATAAGTGCATGTGAGGCAAGTATGCACGATATTCCATGAATGAACAAAAATAATGCCGACACGAAATTCAAGCCATAAACTTTGAAAAGTGCTAACCGTGTAAGCGCTGCAACTGGCGTTTCCTGATAGCAACGAAACAAAAACCGCAATTCACTTTACTTACCGCTCAGCAAGCACGAGTCGCTCGCTTTAAGGTTGCGTGTTAGTAATCTCAATAAAATATATTATATATTATTAAATTTAGTCTTTGTGAGTAGAGTTTCGAGGGTAAAACGAATTAGCCAATTTTAGCGACTTTTGCGGAGTTTCGCTTGCATCTGCATGTACGCCTGTCTCACGAAATGACTCACAAATGTAACAGAAATGGCATAAACGGCATAAATGTACAAGAAAATGTATTGCAATATTTAAATCATATTGAAATGTATTCTAACAATACAAAGCACGAGTGAAATGGAATACTTTCGGAATAAATTGAACCAGAATGTCAGAATGTTTTGGGTTTTTCACTATTTTTCTAGAGTAAATTGAATAAATGCATATGCGTATAAATTAAAGTTTAATAAACAGAAATGCTTCTGACACATGCTCGCATATGCATTATGCATTTAGCATTTATTAAACTACATATGCAGATTTCCCAACAAGACAAAAATATGAAGGATAACAAAAAGTATTTCACTACAATGTATTCAAAGAACATATGGCGTAGGTTATGGTTATGGCGTTACGACGTTATGGCGTTACGGCCAAGTAAACAAAAGATAACTAGAAAGCATTGCATACATGTAGGCGTTAGCAAAATACAGATTTCGTATAAAAAACAATGCAGAACAGAGCGAAGCAAAACAAAACACCATTTTGTGTGAAATGCACTGTCACACGTACACATATACACACTGGCGAACAGACGAACAGACCAGTGGAACAGAACCTAAAGCCTTTAAGTTCGCTTTCACATTCTGAACTTTTCCTGCTTTGTGCCATTACAAGGCAATGAACTTTAGGAAACGCGTTGTCTTACTGCTGCTGCAGTCAACACCACTGCCGCGGTCGCGGTTGTTGCCGTCACTGTCGCTTCTAGTTTTGTTCATATTTCACTGTTTCTGGGTTGTGAGTCACGTGAATCGTTGTCTTTGCGTGAAACGTGGTAGTGACAACAAAACCACATGGCAAATAGGGGTGCAGCAGTTAACATTTTCATTCTACGAACAAGGCGTGTGTCAGCTTTGTGTTGCCTTTGTTGCTTTTGTTGTTATTGTTGTGGTTATTGTTATAAATCCCTTAACCGACCTATGCTGTCACAATAACAAATGTGGTTTCATATATTTTAAACTCTTTAAAATACTTTTTCCGTTTATAAGCTGCTTTTCACTTTGTACTTTCGCAAATACTAGCTTAAATTTTCGAATAAATATCTTTAATGGGCGAAATGGAAAACGATTTTAATTGAGAAACTCAACCTAAACTTACTTACTTAGTTGAACATTACAGACGTGATTCATCTTTATCCCCGTCCAATAATCTTCGATCTGTGACTTACTGTTGACAGTATGGTAGTACCGAGTGCTTTTATATCATTGGTCACCTGTCGTTACTCCGAAAATACTGACGTCATCAACAACGTTTTCCACCAGAAGGTGTAGAATTAAAAGTACCTTCTAATATTTATAATATTTATGCCTTCAGCTATATCAATATAACAGTGTAGCTTATACAAATTATTGTTATAATTCGATTCGGTAAGAGATCATAGATCTTCCCAAGGATTTTTCTCTGGAATGCTCCCCACGTTTTGTCATCCCGACTTAAATATTAAGAATTCTAAAGTGATAGTTTAAGATAAGCTTGTGATCACATCAAAAACTTTATAAATACGACTATTTTCAGAAAATAATTAACTCGAAACGCACCCGTTTTATATATAAAGAAATACATAGTGCCAATATTGTATTGTTTAATAAAGATATTGTATGTAAAAGTGTATGGAGAAAAAATGCGATCATATTAAATCATTGGGGAGAGATACAAAAGATTGTATTGTTCTACAATATCTCAGACCCATGCTCATATGAAATCCAAAACAACAACCAAAACAACATATTTTTTTTATAGTTATTAATCAGTTTGTTAGTTATACAAGAACGTAAAGTAACAACTTGGCGGAACCCAAAACTTTTGGCAACAATTATAGAACATCTCCAGAGTGTTTTTTGGAGTGTTTGACGGTACGTATAATAGGTATTTCAAAATTGTTGCAATGTTTTCATGTGAAATTTAAATAAGTTTTCAAAAACTCTTCCTTCAATGTATCTACATGTGTCCTCTGTATTCAGATATTTCAAAACAGTGCATTGTTACATGTTATATGCTATATACTTCTTTCTAATTATGTAATTCAAATACAAATCTGAGTGATAGACGATTAAAATTTACTAGAATAAAAAAAATGGTAAAATCACGCAAATCACATAAGATGTTTGACAAAATATTTTCGGGATCAGGATCAGAAATGAAAATGAAATCTCTTTAAAACTGAATAAAATTAATTTGATTTCAAAAGTTTTACTAAAGAAGTACTAATGGCAATCATATAAAATTAACGTTTAAATTAAAAATCTAGAATATACTAAAGCCCTGAGCTCAACATATGAAGGTGAATAAGTAAATTTGGCAAGACTTGAAGCTCTCAGAGAGAATGTATTTCTAAAGCGAGATAGTCCGATCAAATTTGGAGTATCATATTCTTACATCTGATAAATCTGAAAAATCATAGCATAAACCTCTGGTAACAGAAAAAAGATGAATAGTAACAAGGAAAAAAATAATATGAATAGAGGTATAATAATAGAACCACCAAGACAAAATGAAGACAAATACAAAGTGTGAAGTCTATTTCGTAATTCAGAAAACTTAACAGACATGACAAGAATATTTTATGACCTACTGAAACAGATCTGAATTATAACATAGTGGTCCTTGAGGTGTTGAATGGTTTTTAGTAAAAATTGATATTAATTTTCGAAGGAACGAAGCGATAAATAATTATAATTTCTTTGTATGTGATTGCCTACTCCAGATCAACATTTAGTGGATTATTCAGTAGAGAAGCGAAAAAGCTGTCAAAATTTAACTTATAATTTGAATTTATATTAAAATTGTAAGTTGACAGTTGATGATCTGTAATGGGGAGTTCATGTTTGCTTCAGAACTAATGAAATTAAGAGCAATTTTTGTTGGGGAATTTGAAAACTAAATTTAATATTAAGATCTTTAATAATGGGATATACTATTGTCGGTTTATCCATGCTTGAAAATTATTATACTAAAATTGCTGCAATATTAATATATATATAAAATCCTATTGATGATATTATTATTACGTATTCAGTATTTACTTTTATTAATAAAATTTTCTTTTCAGTAAAAATTTAAAAGCATATTGTCTATGGGAATTGTATGTGTCACTCACTTATGAGAGCTAACAAGGATCTGCGAACTGAAATTGCTAATATGAGTAGCATTGGCCATGCAGAAAGTGGCGGAAACGAAAGGGTCACTACTTTCTTAGTTTATACGCAATTTTGTTTTTATTTATTTTTGAACAAATTGTGCAGTGTTGCGTGAAGCAAACTTTTTAATCAAATTTTTTAACAAAAGGTATTTCGCAAATACTATTTTCTTTACTTAAGTTAACTAAATATACGATGCCATAAAAGGGAGATTTGAGGACATGTGCAGTGTGGAAATGTGTGGAAGTGTGTTTCTGAAATTCCAAGAAGTTTTCTTTCAAGTGAAGCAACAGAGAATTTGTCGTCGGTACTTCAAATAAATCACAAATGCAACTTTTATTACGAATACAAATCCCTTTTGTTGCCACTGGTGTTCGCAGTGCCTTGCGAGGACGAAACTTTAGAGCCGCAGCAATACAAAAACTCCACGTATGAGGAGAGGTGGAAGTAGAAGGAGAAGGCGCAGCCGAAGTACACGTAGAATATAAGAAGCAAAATGGGCAACACATCGTATTAGGCTTGTTGTGTGATGCGTCAGATTGCGACAACATACACGCATCTCCTCCCGAAGGATTCGTATTCGTATAAGCAACAAAACATAATAAAAGTGCCTCTGCACATTTCAGTCAATTCTAATGTGAAAGTACATTAAGGAGCGCCTGTATTACCCTCCATCACTTGCCACTTGCCACTTACCACTTACCATTTACCACTTTAATTTCCATTTTAGGCATGTAATCGACTCTTTGCCTGTAGTTGTGTTGTGTTGAGTATTTTCATTCACGAACACAGCCACAGCCACACACACTCAAAGTCAAGTGAAAATAGTAAAATAACATTAAAAGTGACTTAAAAAAGAAGGAGAATATAGCGAATTTCCGCAGAACAAAAAAAAGCAAAAGCAAAAGAAAAAAACACAAAACACAGAAAACACAGAAAACGACAAAAGCGCAAGAGGAAAAAGGGTGTATAAACTTTTATGACTTGAATTTACCTCTCATATGCTTTATCTCAAGTAAAAACGAAAAAAACGTATTTTTTGCATTTGTTTTATGTTCCGAACAAGATTCGAGTGGAAGGGGCAAATTGCCTAAGCACTGAACATGCTATTGATTGAGTGTTCAGTGCCGCTGCTCCTCCTGCTCTGCCAAGGTAACTACCTCATATAGAACAACAGATAGTCGTAAAGCAGCAAATACTAACGAATGCGTGAAATGACTGCGGCATATTGAAATTTTTATAACCCAGTGCACTGCTACCACTTTTCCGATTTTCTGATACGTTGCCCCGTGCACGTGTGTTCGCGCCCAAATTTATTCCTGCTTTCTTATTATACTAAGCAGGATGAAGGTGCGGAGACGAATGATGAAGGTGTGTGGGTGTGTGGGTGCGTAAAGCAACCACAGTAAATTTTCATTTATTTAGTGTAATTAGAAAATTAATACATTTTATATTCTGTTTCACATCCTTACTTGTGTTTATTGCTTTTGTACTTGTATATGCTAATGCGACGGGGGTAGGCTTAATGTTTAAGTAAACGATTTATAACGCTATCCTTTGCTTTTCATTATAATTTTTCGGGTTCTTAATAAACAGACAAAAAATTCAATTAAATGGAACCAACTGAAATTAGCTAACTTGGAAATAAAATAAAAACAAAAATCTGAATTTTATATTTTCATAATAATTATGCCTTTTACTGTATATAGGTGCGAAGGGGAAAATATTATAATTTTCGGGTACAGTTAAAAAAGTGTGACGTCAATTTCAAGAAATTTTTTAACGTTAGAACAAAAAATTAAAATAAAACGATATATATTACATACATATTTATGAAAATTTTAATTGACAAAAATAAAAAAAATGTAAAGAACAATATTACTAAATTTTTTTAAAAAAACATTATTGTATTAACATGGTGTTAAAATTTTATAGAACCCTGATGATGATGACTATAGATTATAGTCGAAATATCAGTTAAAATAAGATCTTTTAAAACCAAATAAAAATATTTTTTAAAAAGTTTATTATAAAACAAAATTATTTTTATTATTATATCCCAGGTATAGTAAAACAATGTTTAACTTACCAAATACTAGATTTGTAGTAGCTTATAGTTACTGTTATAAAAAGGAAATGAATGGATGTATTTAATAGAAATGAAACTTTAATGTATTTAATTCTCAATATGTCTATACATTTCTTAAAAATTTTCTTAACAGTCTACACAATTTATGGAAAAGACAGAAGATAAGAACATAAACAATATTAATGATCTCTCTGTCTCTCTCTCTAAAGAAACTAAAAAATTTCAGTTATATTAGTCTATTTTGTTTCAAGTACTCACTATTTGTGTTCGGCTCACACAGATTAGTCAACTAACTGACTGTTTTGGTCTTATTCTGGTCTTAAGAAAACAAAACAGATGTGGCAGGGTTGCATACTCTCGTCTTAGTTATTCAAGCTATTTTTCGAGAAGATCATAACCATATAATAAAAATCTAATTTAGCAGTGTGTGAACGGTATAACATATGCAAATGACGCCACTTCTGTGGTCGACAATCTAGAAGTCCTACGAGATCCAGTAAGCAACGTTAATTTATCTGAAGAAAACTTTATACAGCGAATTAATGTGAAAAAATAAGTATATGATTGTAATTAAACAAACTTTTTATAGTAACAGAAATTTATTATTTATTAAAGATTGCAAGGGAAATGTATATATTAAATATAAATTAATATTTTAATATATTTTCTATAATTGTAAATATTCTTAATGTCATATCCACGAACATTTAGTATGTTCTGAAGAAATAAAATAAAGAATATTACAATTTAATTATTTTTGTGACTATACAAATAATAATTCTAAAACTTAAATTAAATTAAATTAATTTAATATTCAAATAAATGTGCATTTCAATTAATTTACCATATAAGTTTGATATATGGGATATATTATTTTACAGATTTTAAAATATAAGTCAGACATAATTTAATTAATGAATTAAAAGAATTTAAATTATAAAGGAGCAACAACAATGAAAAGAATTATAAGAAAATCAGTTTAATGTATTTAAATTTATTTTCAATTTATTATAAAACTTAATTTTATTAACAATTTCGGTATTGCAGAGAAATGAGGAGAAAGTAATCACTTCAAAATGCCAATCAATCATGTCCAGTAACGGAAATATGTACAAATATCTTTTAATTACATTTCCAGCAGATGTAAGAAATGTTGTAGATTTAATTTCTTATGTCTTTTTAAAATGTTAAGTGGCTTAACAAATACCAAATTCTGCCAATATTGCATGAGTCCATAAGTTGCTTCCATATTAACAATTTAAATTGATACATATATGCAGAAATGTATGTAATGATAGCTCTCTCAGCATATCAATGTCAAAATATATCTACAATTGGACTCAAATAATAATGTAATTTTTTTTTTCATCACAATTGATACCAAATTTTTGTCATAAAAAGTGTATTGGAACTGAAAATTGTTTCTTTTATTCTTATAAAAGTTATATAAATGTTATAAATAAGTTTACTTGAATAAATAAAATAGTTAATGAATCGATAAGTAGTTAATATGTTAAGTATATTTTAGTATATTCTATATTCTTCCTTAAGATTACATAAAATTTATTTTATGTATGTATACAAAGTAATGATTATATTTTATACTCCATAGTTCAACTTCTTATCAAATTAATGGCGTAAGTATATTAAAGACCAAATAACGATTGAGTAAACTCGCAGGATTTGTCATAAAGAAATATTGATTCATTGGTCCAAGAAACGAAATAATAGTACGGCTGCGATTGTATTTCTTATTCTGTGGATCTTGGAAAAAAAAATTTCTAATATTTCAAAAATGGTTTATTGGAATAACTTAAAAATCATCAAAAATTGCTGATAATTTTAAGTAAAACGTTATTGTAATCAAAACTTAAGTTAAATTCTTTCTCTAAGAACGATTGCAGAAAAAACTACACTATAATAAAAAAAATACTCTCCGAGAAATGTTTCGAAGTTAATAAAGTACTTTCTTCACATACATATATTATATGTGAAGTCGATTATATATAATATTATTATGTAATACCTATAATCTGTTTGATTAAATTATAATAAATTTTGTTTTTACCAAATAATAATTACTACGGTTATCTGTTATGCTATATTTCAATAGAAATTAATTTATAATTGAACAGATAATATCTGAAACTACTCGACATAAACAAACAAAGCAAAGTTGAAACTCACCAAGGACGATTATATTTACGAGAATTTGACTTTAATATGTCATCAGAGAGAGTATACATAGTTTCAGACAGAAATAAGAGCTTTATGTTTACATACCTGAACGAAAAAAAAAATAATATTAGATATCACAAAACTTATGTAAAATAAATTGTAAAACATATATCTTTAATAGAAGTTCCTTTATTCATGTCTTTTTTTTGCATTAATTTGATTTGTTTAGTCTACTCTCTTGATAATATAAACAGTAATTTTATATAAAAAACATGTGTATATTTTTATGTATGTATATAAAATCTGTGATGTTTTTTGACGTACTTAAATATTTTATTGTACGAATATTTATTGTACGAATTTTGTTCCCAAAGATGCCTACTTCCAAATAAAAATATAAAGTAAATATGTAAGGGCCAACAATTATGCTCCGAAAAGGCACTTCAATTCGACATATTCAAATATACGCAAATATTGATGAATTCTAACTTCAATAATTTTATAAAATAATGTTTTTTAATTCTGCTATTTCTAAAGAGAATCCACATCAAATTAATCTGACAGATTTAGGCAACAATTTCCATAAATCGATTCGACTCAGACCAACCACTTCAATAGCATTGATTTTAATTTTAAAACGGCAGCAGCAGAGAATAACGCGTCAAATTTGATGGAAACGGTCAATCGCTGCTTTTGATTGCAACTGTTGCTGAAGCGCGTATGATTGCGAAAAGGATTTGTTTGATAAAATATTAAATACTTGAGGCTCAATTAAAATTTTAATTGCTTCAAGTGGTATTTGAGTTTATAAACTTTTTGGGTGCTACATACCCCAAAGCATATTGGAACCTTGAAAAATTCTCATCCGCATCCCACTACGACTACCATCAAGTTTTCTTTACAAATTTAAGAAGCTCAGATAATTTCGCATTAAGTTATTAAAAATTTTTTTGAATGAATTTTTTTTTTAATTGACTTAAAATTGATTGTCTTTAGCCTGCTTTTATCTTGAAAGATAGCATATGCGTAAATTATAATTATAAAAATCATAACTTTATAATCAGCAAATCAAAATTCGTTATATAGCATAGCCATCTTCGAACTTTGACAATCAACAATAAAATAATTGATTACAATATAATCACAAATCTGTGTGGAATCATATTTGAAGATTACTGAAAGGATGTGGATTGATGTTATCATAGTGCGCAAATGGTTTTTGAAAGAAAATATATTAATTAGGGTTTGAGTTGTATTTCATTTACTTTTAGATTCTTTACTTGTTCAACATAGAGTGGCCCAAATAATTGTAACAAAAATTGAACTACTATGAATTTCGAACTGATGTCATCACTGCGGCTATATTTTGTTTGATAATATTTATTTTATTATTTATCAACATGGAATTAATGGTCATGGAATTTTAACATAATTGTGTGATAACAACGTAGTCGTTTTTGAGAGGAAAAACACAAGTACCCTTGTTAGACTACTGTTAAACCTCAACATAAATAAATCTTTCATGTCTATCACATTATAACAAAACTAGTATCGCTGCACAGTAAGACGAAAACATATGGTTGATAAAAACTACATCTGAAACTGAGGTGTTCCAAAAGATAAAGTGTCGAATTTAATGAGATTTAGGCCGCAGTGAAAGTACAATGTCTGTTTAACTAAATATATC